GCTGCTGCGCCTGCCCGACCTGCGCAGCCTCAACCGGCAGCACGCCGAGAAGCTCCTCGCCTTCCCCATCGAGCCCTGAGCGCCCCCGCGGACGGGCCACCGGGCTGTCCCCTCGCCCGGGACGGGGACGCTCCGCGCTCCTGGAGATGCTCCCGGGATGGGGGTGCTCCAGGGTTGGGGACGTCCCAGGGACAAGGACAGCTGGTGGACTTGGAGATACTCTAGGGATGGGGACATCCCAGGGACGAGGAGGCCTCGTGGTCCTGGAGAAGCTCCTGGGACGGGGACACCCTGGGGACGCCTCGTGGTCCCCAAGGACAAGGACACCCCAGGGATGAGGATGCCTCAGGAGATGCTCCTTGGATGGGGGTGTCATTGGAGCGAGGACACTCCATGGCCTAGGAGATGTCCCATGGAGGGAGACACCCCAGGGACAAGGACACGTTGTTGGCTTGGAGTATAAGGACATCCCAGGGACAAGGACGTCTCATGGTCTCGGAGATCTCCCTGGATGGGGATGGCCCAGGGATGAGAACACACCATGGCCTCGGGGGTGCTCCTGGGATGGGGACACCCTGGGGACAGGGACGCCCCACAGCCTTGGGGATGTCCCCAGCTAGAATGACACTCATGGAGATGGGGACGCCCTGTGGTCTTGGGGATGCCCCAAGGATAGGGATATCCCATGGCCTTGGAGATGCTCTAGGGTGCCCCAGGGATGTCCCACAGCTTTGGGGACACTGCTGGGGACGGCAATGCCCCAGGAACAGGGGCCACCCATAGCCTTGGGGACATCTTGGGGGTGATAGTGCCACCAGGTGGCAACACTGGATGGCAATGGCACCCCGATGACGATGCCACCCTGGAGATGGCGGCACCATAACGATGACGATGCCCTGCGGCCTTCAGGGTGACCCGTGGCCTTGGGGACAGTCCAGGGACGATGGCAGCCTGGTGGCCATGGCACCCCTATGATGATGGCACCCCAACAGTGGTGGCATCCCGGGGATGAGGGTGGCCTGGGGACGTGGCACCCTGGTGACGACGACACCCCGATGACGATGACCCTGTCCCGGCCGTGTGTCCCCCTCGCCTCCCTCCTGCCCTGCCCACCGTAGCCCCCAGGCCAATTTGGGCAGCTTTGGGGCTTTTCGGAGCCGTCCCTCCTTCCCCCGGGGGGGGGGGCAGGGAGGCCCCGAGGGCCCAGGCGTCCGGGCCCCTTTGGACATGTATCGGTGCGGGGGAGAGGGCGAAACTTTGCACTTTGACGCCAGGCGCTGCTGCAGAGGGTTTATTTTTTGTTAATTTTGAAGTGCAATAAAGGAAACGTTCAACGAGAAGCAGTGGAGGGTCCCGTGCCTGTCCCACGGCCACCCCATGGTCACCCTGTGACACCCACTGCTGCCCCACAGCCATT